TGGCCTTTAATTTTTGAAATACACATTTTTATCCAGCAGGTTTTCAAAAGAGATTAAAATGTCCCTAAATTAAAGATGTGAATTTCACCTTTTTTTAAGCGTGAGAATTATCCAGGCCTAGGAGTTACATCCGTTGTTTATAGCAAAGTAATAGGGAAGAGAGAAAAAAAAGCATTTTTTTTCTTGAGAGAAATGTTAATTTTAGTAGATAGCTGCTGTCGAGTTGACTCTGGTCGATGGTGACCTTACGTACAGTGGAACGAACATTGCCCAGTCTTGTGTCATCTTCACAGTCGCTGGCATGTTCACACCGTCATTGAGGCTGTTGTGCCAACCCATCTCACCTAGGGTCTCCCTCACTCTCACTGGGCCTCTGTTTCACCAAACATAATGCCCTCCTCCGGCGGTTGAGTCCTCTTGATAACATGTCCAAAGCAAGGAAGTCGGACAGTGTTCTGTTGTGATCTGGACGTTTTCGTTGGCTAATTTTCAGAAGTAGATCTCCAGGCCTTTCTTCCTAGTCTGTCTTAGTCTGGGAAGGTCCACTAAACCCTGTCCACCATAGGTGACCCTGCTGGTATTTAAAATACTGGTGGCAAACACTTGGAGGGACAGAGTAGGAGGAGCAGGGGTCTGGGGACCATGGTTTCAGGGGACATCTAGGTCAGTTGGCATAACAAAGTTTATTAAGAAAATCTTCTGCATCCCACTTTGGTGAGTGGCTTCTGGGGTCTTAAAAGCTAGCGAGTGGCTGTCTAAGAGGCATCAATTGGTCCCAAGCCACTTGGAGCAAAGGAGAATGAAGAACACCAAAGACAAGGAAAATATCAGCCCAGGAGACAGAAGGGCCACATAAACCAGAGACTCCATCAGCCTGAGACAAGAAGAACTAGATGGTGCCTGGCTACCACTAGTGACCGCCCTGACAGGGAGTACAACAGAGAGTCCCTGATGGAGCAGGAGAAAAGTGGGGTGTAGAACTCAAATTCTAGTAGAAAGACCAGACTTAAATGGTCTGACTGCGACTGGAGGGACCCCGGAAGACATGGCCCCTGGATTCTCTGTTAGCCCAAAACTAAAACCGTTTCCGAAGCCAACTCTTAAGACAAAGATTAGACTGGACTATGGGACATAAAATGATACTCGTGAAGAATGTGCTTCTTAGCTCAAGTAGATACATGAGACTAAATGGGCAGCTCCTGTCTGGAGGTGAGACGAGAAGGCAAAAAGGGACAGGAGCTGGTTAAATGGACACAGGAAATCCAGGGTGGAAGGAGGAGTGTGCTGTCACAGTTTGGGGAGAGCAGCTAGGGTCACATAGCAGTGTGTGTATAAATTTTTGTATGAGAGACTAACTTGAACTGTAAACTTTCATTTAAAGCACAATAAAAATGGCATAGCTTCCAGCATCATAGCGCCATGCAAGCCCATGGTGTGACAGAGTGGTTTGGCAGGCAGAGGTTAAAACATGACGAGAATGATAGTCTGGGAAGACCTGTACATTACAATACTGAGTATTTAATAATCGCTGGCCTCCTTGGTGGAAAATATCTGAAAGGTGACTATCATGGCCCACTCAAAAGAAGGATTTTTTTTTTTTTTTTATTGATCATCTTGGTAGAGCTACTAAATACAGCATTTCATTGTGTTAATGGAGATCACTTTGTTTTCGATAACTGGAAAACTACAAGAATGATGTTAAACTTGGATTTTTCATTTTTAAAGTTTGCCAAGTATTTAATTTAGTTGCTGTCTGGAGCCCTGGTGGCACAGTGGTTAAGAGCTCAGTTGCTGACCAGAAGGTCGGCAGTTCGAATCCACCAGTGGCTCCTTGGAAGCCCTATGGGGCAGCTCTACTCTGTCCTGTAGGATTGCTATGAGTCGGAATCCACTGGACGGCATTGGGTTTGGTTGTTTTTTGTTGTTGCTTTATGTCTAGTGTGGAATGGCCCATCTTTTCAATAGAGTTAATTTTGTGACCCTGAGCTATAGAAGCTGAAGTAAAAGGGATGATCACATCTGAGATAAAGAGTTTAGGTCAGAATGGAGGACTAAGTGTTTGAAAACTTGGTCGCAGTGTCTTTCCAGGGATGTTTTGGGTGTAAGTCTATAATATGCTGAGTCAGCAGACTTAAACTACTTTGCTGAGTTGACATGCCATATTGTCACTGTAAAAGCATGAGTATTTTCTGTTAAGTTGAATTTCTCTTTCCAGTCTGAATCTTTCGATTTACTTTGGTTGTCTTGGCAGAACTTACACCCTTGAAGAGTTGTTTTTCTTACTTGGTAAAAGGTAGTCAGGACATAAACATCTTTCTTTGCCATCTTTCCAGACCTGCCCTTTTCAGCTTTTCCATTTTTTAAAGTACCTTTTTTTATGGGAAGAATGACGTAATTTGACTTTTATGGTCAGATAGAAGAAACATTTAGTATTGTTAAAATTTGTTTCACAAAATAAAACATAGCGAAGAATTCAGTCTCTTAAAACATTATAAATATTTGATGAAAGACTGTGTCTAGCAGCGTCAGAAGCCACCTTAATTCACAAGGAGGAGAGTGAATCACCATCAGCACAAAGCGGATTCCTATGAGGTGGTCAGACATTCCTCCACACTCTGACATTTTCACCGTTTCTGATTCCAGCCGTCCTCCCCACTGTGTTTCTCTGCTGGGTTTGCTAGTCTGTTGCAGTGACCACCCAGAACTCACAGACCATACTCACGATTATGTGGTTTATTAGGGAAGAGAAATAACAGGCTGCAACTCGGGAGACAGGATACAGTTCTTCACTCAGGACAGCTTCCAGCCGGGACAGCTGTTGGCCTCTTCTCAGCCATGCCTTCAGGCAGGTGGCCCTTCTCTCGCAGTACTTTCTTTTGGCCTCTTCCCTGCTGGCGCAAGTGTTACAGCTTTTTACCTCTCACACCAAGTGCCTGGAGGCACCGCACTCCACCTGCAAGCCTGCCCAAAGGTGCTCAGCTCTCTCTTGCTCTGTGGGTCAGCAAGCCCCGTGCAGCTGCCTTACGCAGGTCTCCCGTTTCCCGCCACTCAAGACTGCTGCTGCCCCCTTTTCTCTGCTGCTGGGCTCTGCTCTGCTGTGGTTGGCGTGTTTCTCCGTCTCACGCCATCTCCAGTGTTACAGCTTTCTCTCTTCTGTGTCTAGGGTGTTCTCACCGAGGGGACCCCAGGTCCAAATGACACACTCTGCTCCAGGCTTCTCTTGATGGTAGTGAGGTCCCCCTCAACCTCTGTGGGATTGGCCTACCTCTTGCGGATTTCAGGTCATGGCCCTCCCACCAGACCACGATCCTCTTGGTAGGCCACAGTCACTTAATACGCGTAGTAATTGACCAACCCCCCTCCCCCCCACTTAATCCTACTGGGAGGTTTTTTCTTTCTTTGTAAAATTTATTTATTTTTGTGAAATATACACAATAAAACATACACCACTTCAGCAATTTCTGCATGTACAGTTTAGTGACATTGGTTTTATGTTTTTAGTTATGCTGCCTTTCTTGACAGTCTTTTCCAAACAGCTTCCCCGTTATTAACACAGACTCACTGCTCTCTTAAGCTTCTCATCTGTCTTTTGAGTTACTGTTGTCAGTTTGATCCCATATAGATAAAAAGAGTGAAATCCTTAATGCAAACATTCTCTTACAGTTAGTCTAAACTATTACATATTTGATTCAAAGATGACTTCAGGGGAGAGTTTTCGTTCAAGATCTAAAGGAGACCTTCTCTGTCTGAAAGATAAAGACAAAAATCCCACATTGGTGGTGCATTCCCCGCAGCAAATGAGTGGGAACCCAACTCACACGGCCTCACGCATAACTGAGAAGCCCAGTGGGAGAGCTCACGGGGCCAGGGACCCATCTCTCCACCCCACATTAACTCTTCCTCGGGGCGGTGCGTTCTTTGTATTATTTATTTATTTGAGTTGAATATGTGGTCTTTTTATTTTTTTATTGCTGTGCTTTAAGTGAAAGTTTACAATTCAAGTTAGTCTCTCATATAAAAATTTATACAGACATTATTACGTGACCCTAGTTTTGCTCTTCCTATACTGTGACAGCACACTCCTCCTTTCCACCCCTGATTTCCCGTGTCCATTCAACCAGCTCCTGACCCTCTCTGCCTTCTCATCTCACTGCTGGACAGGAGCTGCCTGTTTAGTCTCATGTACCTACTTGAGCAAGAACAAGCACACTCTTCACGAGTATCATTTTATGTCCTATAGTCCAGACTAATCTTTGTCTGAAGAGCTGGCCTCAGGAATGGTTTTAGTTTTAGGCTAACAGAGAATCCAGGAGCTGTGTATTCCGGGGTCCCTCCCATCTCAATCAAACCATTAAATCTGGTCTTTTTACTAGAATTTGAGTTCTGCACCCCACCTTTCTCCTGCTCCATCCAGGACTCTCTGTTGTGTTCCCTGTCAGGGC